GGCCTGCTGTATGCCGGCACTTAAACTATGGCTCTTGTCTGCATTTATTGGCAGCCTGGTGTATACCGGCACTAAACTACTAATCATGTTTGCATTTATTGGCGGCCTGCTGTATACTGGCACTTAAACTACGGATTTTGTGCATTTAGTGGCAGCCTGCTGTATGCCGGCACTTAAACTACGGATTTTGTGCGCATTTATTGGCGGCCTGCTGTATACCAGCACTAAACTAAGGATGTTGTTTGCATTTATTGGTAGCCTGCTGTATACTGGCACTTAAACTATGGACTTTGTGTGCATTTATTGGCGGCCTGCTGTATACTGGCACTTGAACTACGGATTTTGTGCACATTTACTGGCGGCCTGCTGTATACTGGCACTAAAACTATAGATTTCGTGTGCATTTATAGGCAGCCTGCTGTATACCGGCACTTAAACTACGGATTTTGTGTGCATTTAGTGGCAGCCTGCTGTATACTGGCACTTAAACTACGGATTTCGCGTGCATGTATTGGCAGCCTGCTGTATACCGGCACTTAAACTACGGATTTTGTGTGCATTTAGTGGCAGCCTGCTGTATACTGGCACTTAAACTACGGATTTCGCGTGCATGTATTGGCAGCCTGCTGTATACCGGCACTTAAACTACGGATTTTGTGTGCATTTAGTGGCAGCCTGCTGTATACTGGCACTTAAACTACGGATTTCGCGTGCATGTATTGGCAGCCTGCTGTATACCGGCACTTAAACTACGGATTTTGTGTGCATTTATTGGTGGCCTGCTGTATACTGGCACTTAAACTACGGATTTCGCGTGCATGTATTGGCAGCCTGCTGTATACCAGCACTTAAACTACGGATTTTGTGTCCATTTATTGGCGGCCTGCTGTATGCCGGCACTTAAACTATGGCTCTTGTCTGCATTTATTGGAAGCCTGGTGTATACCGACACTAAACTACTAATCATGTTTGCATTTATTGGCAGCCTGCTGTATACCGGCACTTAAACTACGGATTTTGTGCACATTTATTGGCGGCCTGCTGTATACCAGCACTAAACTAAGGATGTTGTTTGCATTTATTGGTGGCCTGCTGTATACTGGCACTTAAACTACGGATTTTGTGTGCATTTATTGGCAGCCTGCTGTATACCGGCACTTTACGGATTTTGGGTGCATTTATTGGCAGCCTGCTGTATACCGGCACTTAAACTACGGATTTTATGTGCATTTAGTGGCAGCCTGCTGTATACTGGCACTTAAACTACGGATTTTGTGTGCATTTAGTGGCAGCCTGCTGTATAACGGCACTTAAAACTACGGATTTTGTGTGCATTTATTGGTGGCCTG